ACGTCATGGACTGCTCATGGATCAATTTCCACCCCGGCCAATAGGTTGGGAGTTCGATAGTAGTACAAAGTACAAACGAAAACGATGATCATGATGGCGATGAGGGAAATTCGAGTGGCAACGATGAAGGAGGAGGAACAGAGGGAACGAGAGGAGGACAAGCCAGAGACCAAGACAGCAGTCGAGAAGGGAATCATGGCGTGGAAGAGAGCAAGAGCTTCGAGCCAGAGGACCTCCCGCACAGCAAAAGACGGAGAGACAGACAGAAGAGCTGCCAAAAAGTTGCTGCCGAAATGACGATGAGAATAGTGATGGTAGTAGTGGTGAAAGCAAGGAGAATGATAGAGAGAGCACTCCTAAACGAAGTCGAGTGCAGGGTGACAGTCTTAGTAGACACGTGCAGTTTTCTTCTGTTATTACTACGGTATCTGTCTTTAATCCTGAGAATAGCGTAGCTCCCCCTACGACGCTCGGTCCCGGGGTCCCAGATAGTGGACTATAGAAACATTTTGTGTTTCCCGCCGCACTGAGACTGACGTCTTTTCATTGGTCAGCCGGTTAGCGCGGTCGATGCAAATAATAAAAGCACACACACAAAAAACACCAAACACCACCACGACGAGTGCACACCGACTCGTGAGGGCAGCAGCAGCATGTCGATGCAGTTTGCCACGTAACAACAGCATATTAATAGGGTATACATATGCACAACATTCATGTTGTGTATACGACGTGAAAATCCGGCTTGATATCCCCTAAAAACCTAACCGTCGCAATAGTTGCCGCCAGCAGTTGACAGAGGTGCGCCCGCGCTTGATTGAGCGGGCGCCCTGCAGGGCAAACTGCATCGACATGCTGCTGCTTCCCTCACGTGTCGGTGTGCATTCGTCGTGGTGGTGGTTGGTGTTTTTGTGTGTGTGTGATGAAATGTGAGACACAGCAGGTATGGTAGTTGTCAGAAAACGATAAGAGAGCAGCCTTTGCAAGCCGCAGCTACCTGTCCATGACCGAAATCCAAACACAGCAGTGAACAAAAAACGAACATAATGTACACTGGACTATATGAAGATCGGCCATTAGGTGTGATCGGACGTGTTGTTTGTGTGGTTGTTGATTGGGGTACTACAGTCTGCTGTAGTCTATCTATGAGAGGACGATCAGTACAGACTAGAGATACAGAACTGAGAGTGCAAAGGATGTTTGTGGCGGCTTGACAACGGGGAAGGGACGCCTTTCTTTCCTGCCTCGGAGAAGAACTGTTACGTAGTGTACACCAGCATCATTCATTATTGATGGATATGGTGATGATAGCTTTCCCCCGAAAATGCACGGCAAGCACGAACGAGCAGTAGTTCAAATGTAGTCGGCAGTGTACGGCAGAAACCTCCTCATATCTAAGTCTATAGACTAGACTACATCGACTGGAAGCATGCTGTCTACTACTACACTATGGAGTAGTAAAATGCACAGCATCTCGCGCCGCCCTCGGTTGACTTCAACTTCCCGTGAAGCGGATTGGAATTATTTGAACCCTCAAAGAGCGTCCGTCGACTTATTAATACACTTAGTAGGTGTTTTGAGGTTCACAGCCAGACGTGTGATGGTCGTTTGTTTACACACATAATGTACGCTGATTTTGATTGGGCTGGTTCGTTATAGGTACAAACTGAAGTGTGGTTAGGCCGGAATCGTACCGCAAACGATCCTTTTTGTTGTTGTGTCGGTCGCTCTGTGATGCATAGTCTAGAGTTCAAGCGAGCCAGAAGTGAAGTCACACAGAGCCGAGCGAAGGGAGCGGGGGCTTGACTTTTTCTCTGCTATGCGGGGGCCGGAAATGGCGCATGAAGCTCCCCGAAGAGAGCTGATTGATTGCCCTCTCACAGCCCGCAGGCCGTTAAAGGTTCTGATTCTTTCCACCGCTGTGAAATTTGGAAAACGCTGTCAGCAAGCTGATTTTCTTGCCGTTGGATACGGGCGGCCAACAGCTTTCTCTCTATGCCTGTCTCCCGGCCCGTACCTTTCGCAGACACACACAACACGCAACAGCAGTAGCACTGGTGGCATCCGAACATCGCACGCAGGTTTCCGTCTTCAGTGTGAGTCCACGAGGGCACCAGAGCAGCTCAGCGGGTACGACTCGGCCGACAACTCTCACAACAAGTAGTTCCGCGCGTGCGGCTTCGGGCATTTGACGATGACGGGAGCGGCGGTGACGGTATTCTTGGCGGCAGCCACCGTGATAACCCGGGCTGAGGCGGGCACCTACGTGCTAACCCCAACCTCGCGACCAGTCCTGCACTCTGCTGTCTTCCAGAGCGAGTGAGTGTGTTGTGATGTATCCTCCTGTAGCTATCCTTGCAGCACTTTACGCGTGGAGCAATGGACAATGATTCTGGACACAGGCAAGAAGAGCTCGTCTCGGTACAACATGTTCATGTTCATCCCCTGTGGTTGCCTTCCGGCTGATCAGTGAATGTGCGCAATGCGTTCTGGTAGGTGTACCTGTCGGCGTTATAGGTGGTGGTCATGTTGTCGAGATCACGATGTAAATGTCGTTGCAGGCACAAGTCGTGTGCTCGACCGAATCATGTCAAAACACATTTTTAGCGGTTGAATCACCCAACCATTAGACTAAAGAGTACCTGGTACGCCGCTATGCATTGATGTGCAAAAATTGCAACGAGCCTTGGCTCAGAACGTATTCCTCACGTGGAGCGGGTTCAAGATTGGTGTTTCTATAGGTGGGCCGACACTCTATGGCAATGCTGTGCAGCCTGCATGTCATGCAATAGTCTAGACAACAATCATCGCGGTCGTCACGCTAATACCTCCGAAGATCCATTCGATTGCCTCCATGGACGGGCGGGGCGACTCGAGCAACGGCGTTGCTTCCCTGTCGAACCACATCATATTATACGACAACCTAATGTTGCGTGAAGTCTACACTAGCACAGCAGTAACGTCCTCTTTCATCCGCTGAACACACATTATCGCTCTGCTCGTTTGTCTGAGAGGGTCGATTTTGGTACATACATAGATCTGTTTGAGGTGAATATCGCCCGCTGTACCTCGTTCGTACAGATTAACCCGGTTGTGTGGGTGTGCTGGTAATCATTTGTTCGCTCGCCAATAGCTCGGAAAAAAACGCGAACAAACCAAAAGAACAAATTCGCGTTCTCGTATCGATCGATATTTGTAGGCAGAAACGATAACGATTGATTGTTCCATGCCATGCGAGATCGAAGAGATGGCACCACCGTACGTGATGAGATGATACTCACCGCGGCATCTCTATTGGGAGGACAAGTTCAGCCCGTATCGACGGCCGTTCTACCTCTCTGCCTACGTTCGTTCGTTCGTTGGGCCTCAACGAGGTCCCTTCGAAAAGTGCTTCATTACACCGGCCGCGTGCCGGGTCTCTGTATTTATCCGATCGCGTGTGAAATGTGATGAAATTTATTATTAGTATTCCACCTTAATTCTACCAGTGCCAGGTGAGTTCTCGGTATATAGCAATCGCATCCAAGCCGCGGCCCTACCTATTTTCTCCTGACCCCCCCCGACATGAAGCCACCGGTGTTCAGTAGACGGTACAGCAGTAGACCATGTTCATTGTCGAATTTCCCGTGTGGCCCCTTGCTCCCCTAGGCCGTTATCATCGCGTAGACTAATGTTTATTTACATTATTGGTAGTGCAGAAAGTATGCCGTGGTCAGATCTCTCGGCAAGTCCATCTACGTGCGCAAATTAAAAGCAACAGCATCCCGTACGCAAGAGGCGGCGAGATGGCACCCCCCCTAATCTAGACTGATCTTCGAAGCTCGATTAAGCCGCAACCAAGCTTGTGCCAACCCCACTAGTGGTTGCTTTGGAAACATCTTGTCGAAGACTCTCCGTAGACATCATAGACATATCGGGCTCTCTCCACACCCACTTAGTTGTGAAGAACCGAGGTCTGGGGAGAGTGCCGTCTCTCCGCACTCGACGGTAGATTTTGGTGGCAAACCTATGAGGCAAACGCGACGGACCCCTGAGTTACGACCTCCTTCCTGCCGCCAACCACTAGGACCGCCGAGAAGTTCGAAGATTGCCCTGGTTGCCTCAACTCGGGGGGCCCCGTGTATGTCAAGGAGAAAGGGATAGGGTACACCAACGGGGGACTGCTGGCCGAGTACGGGGATGGAGAATGGCCGCTGTTGGCGGCTTACAACAAGGGAGAGATGTGCGACAACGGCAACTTCTACGAGCGCGACGAGATCTCCGCCCGGCACGGCATTTGTGGCGATCCGAAGCAGGTGTGACGCCCGCTGAAAACGGTTCGCGGCTTTTGACAACAGCGAAACGTCATAAGATCACCCCATTTTCTGTGACGCCGAGCACGGTCTAGACAACGCGACAGCGAGAAGTAACTGTTTTTTTTGTCCATACAATATCTCACGTACGGCGGAGCATCGCCTGTACCACTCTGTTACGCTAGTTCTGGCGGTGCCACGGCGATGAGTGTTTCACCACGACATGAGATAGTGTTGTCAAAATTGTATCGATGGCTTTTCTTCCTGAAATTGTATAACCCGGCATCTCCGGCGTCGAAAGAGCGTTATAGCTCTGCTCCTTTGCCCTGGCTTCGTCGTTCGATGTGATGCACCTGCCTTTGCATCCCGTGGCAAATCCGACGCATCTCTATGACGCTTAACCCCTCCCCCTGTGGAAGGAACGATTGGCCAGCGGTAGTCGGTCCTGTGGAAACCATGCTCCGTCCCCTCGAGGACGCATGGTCAATGGTCTAACCGCCATGGCATGAAAAACATGAGAGTACCCCCCCCCCTACTGCCCTAAACATATCATCCCATGACGCGTGCATGTGCGCGCGCGCTCGCGTTGTTTCGGCCGCCACCTCTCTCGTCATTGATTGGCCAGTTTTCCCTGGAGAGCACGAACGCCTACAGCAGCAGCCTCAGCGACTGGTCCGCCCTGGAGACGTTGAAGGAGGGAGGGGTGTTGGACATCAAGGTCGTCGTGGCCGAATACCTCGGGGTGAGTTGTCGAGACGCGCAAGTGACCGCATACATAAGTGGATCGTAGACGGGGCGATAGTAGTAGCTTCGAAAACACAGAGCTAGCATCAAACATGACGAGCGAACTTTGGTTGAACGGCGAAGAAACCCTTGCGCTTTTTGTGCCCGTGTGGTGGGTTCGCCACGACCGATAACGGTATCGTTCGAACGGCGCACTCTCCCTCCCCCTGGCAACGCCTGCGGAAAAAAGTTCGGGCGCTCACGGGTTCGGCTGGCAGTCTGTCTGCGCACCTCAAGGAGCCACAACCAACCGTACCTTGATGCGATACTTGCGTTGGAAGTAGGAGCCAAACAACCGCGGCATTGGGTGGTAGAAAGTTACCGGGTGCAGTTAGGGTTGCTGCGGTTGAAAGAACGAGAAGAGCGTGCGTGCCAGCGGGTACTGTTAAGTCATCCGGCGAAAGGCGTGGTGTTGTTTCTCACGGAAAGGTAGGTCGCGAAGAGCTTCTTGAGTCAGCAAGAGTAGCAGCCTGGTGGACGAAATAAAAAAGAACACGGGCTAGGGGCACCCGTTCCCTACACACGTCTAACTCCAACCTCAACTTACAGAGGCAACCCCCCAAACCCTCCCTGTTCGACTGCTCAAGGGCCACCTCGAGTTCTTCATCTGCAACTCCGCGGACTTGAGGTACGGCCCAACGTCCAAGCCGAACCAGGAATGCTTCAACATGAATCCCTTGACGAGGGCTGAGGGTGACGACGTCAACAGCCCCATCGACCCCGCCTACCCGGGGCGCTACTACGTCAACCCCCCGTGCCACGCCACGGAGCACCCGGAGGCCCTGCCCGACGGGGCGCAGGACGGATACGTGATCAACATGCAGTACCAGCTCCCGGAGGGACTGACATGCGACCACTGCGTTCTTCAGATGGTGCACTGTGAGTTCAGCCAGCTGCAGCCTTGTCTGCCGACTACTTTTACTGTCGTTACCGCAATATGATCAAGTCCATGCTATTTTTTGTGAGGAGTACATGTTGTCGGTGAAGCAGGGGAACACCTCGCACATTCCTCGCGTTGAGTAGTGCCCCCCCCCTCCCCCGGCATCTTTCATGGGTCCACCATCCGCCGTTGAACAGAAGGATAAAAAAAGTATTCTGATGTCAATAGAACATCCCCCCACCGCTAACGCACGCCTCAAACAAACACTGCTTGCTGCCTCTGCTCTCTCGACAACAAAATGCTGTGGCACAAACGACTCAACGGGCCAACAATAGACACCGGCAACACCTGCAAGCACGTGGGTTATGACGACTTTGAGCCCGAGTCTTGGCCCAGCCAGTGCGCCCCGACCAAGGCGGAGTGGATCAACACCGACCACTGGATGTGCGGCATGGCCGGCGCCTACCCGGAAGAGCACTGGTCTTGCTCAGACATCTCCATCACGACCGGTGAGTAGGATAGCAGCCGATGTACGACTTGCGTCTACTTTTGACTAGTCATCCTCGTAGTTTGGTTTTCTGTGCCTTCCTGGCTTGTCTCGTCACACTCTGTCGCACGCGTCTTGCGTCTACTTGGTGCTTGATATGTTTTCAGCCGAGTCGCCCGTCCTGCAATAGAATGCGACTGGCCGTCTTGTGGCCTTCTGCGGACTTGGGGGTTGTTGGCCTTGGCTGTCTGTTTACAGCTTTGCGTTGTTGGTGCAAGGCGTAGTATTAGTTGTTGTAACGACTTTGGTGGAGCCAATTTTTTACATGTTTTCGAAATTCCGGGGCATGGCATTCGCCGGCAGCAAGATGACCCGCGGGTAATAACGCGAAAGTGAGGTTGGATGGTATCGTAGTGTCACGTTTTCGGTTTGCGAAGACAGGTTAGTTTGATGGACAAGCCTCGGTCGACTTCGTGGAGAAGCGACACTGCTACGTAGCTTGACACAGCCGTTGATGTAGAAGTACGTTTGAACTTTTTCTCGAATAATCTCGTGTGGTAGATGTGCTGTGGCAGCAACAAGCCTTTTCTGGTGCCAACGAACGCCCCCATCCCCCCCGCGGTGTCCGAAGTACTACCTAAACTCATTGACGCCCGCCTCCCTTCCCTCCTCGGTGCTTGCTACTCGCTGCTGCAGACGGCCCCACCGAAAAATCTTCGTCTCCCGTAGAACCCGACACCCCTCCTCCCTTGTCGACGGCCACGCCAGTCGCGACCCCCTCGCCGACAGAGGCCCTGGGGGCAAACGAGGGCGGCGGTGACGGCTTGTCGTTCTCCTACTCGCACGACTACGACGACTCCGACGACGGCGGCTACGACTACGACGAAGTCTGTCTCACCTGCGAGCGGGCCCCGTTGTACATGACCCCCGCTGACTGGGCGACCCTCGAGGATGAGGGCCTGGAGCTGGTCTGCGACCCGGACTGCCTGATGGACGAAGCCCTCGACGGCTGCGCGGCCTTCGGGCTGGGCACGGCGTGCCGCACCATACCGTTGGTGGTCGAGCCGGTTTCCTCGGGCACGCCCGCCCCCGTGCGCGAGGCTACCCCCGCTCCCCAGGCGGAGGCTGCGCCGACGCCTCGTTTGGGAACCCCGAGCCCGGTGGCGATGATGATGCCTTCTCATTCTCACGGAGACGACAGCGACGACAGCTACAGCGGCAGCAGTAGCGACAGCGGTGGCGACAGCGACAGCAGTGACGACAGCAGGAACGAGGCGTGCGCCAAGTTCAACGAGCAGTGCGGTGGGCAGCACTACACTGGCACCACTTGCTGCGAAGCCGGACTAACCTGCAAGGAGTGGACTGACGTGAGTTTACTTGCATGTACCCGCACAAACACTTTGCCCTGTGTTCCGACGGCGCCGCGTTTCCCCGGCCAAACTTGACGCCCGCAAGCGCGTGCTCAGACCACGACTTTAATACGTACACTGATCATCTGGAAAAGAGGGAAGGAGAAGGAAAGTGTTTTTGGGTGTTGTTGGGTTTTTTGTTGAGATTTGTCGCGCGGTTGCTTTCCCGCCGTAATCCACTGTTTTCTTTGACATCATGACATGCGATTCCCATATGTACTGTCGGCCGACAAAACTATATCGCATATTACCCCCACTTCTCTCCTTCGAACCTCCACTCCCGAGAGCGAATGTGACTGGATGAGCAACTACCGTCTCGCAACCCAAACTTCCCCCCCCTGGGACGTGTGTTGTTAACTCTCGTGTGTTTTCGCCAAATAGGCTCACTCAAGCTCCCCCCGTCCTCCGTTGCCAGAAACGTAAAATATCTACCGGTATCCAGGACAAGGACAAGCGGACAAGGACGCTTGTAATGGTACTTGTGCACTACCCTCCCCGAAACATCTCGCTTCCCAAAAGCTGGCCACTTTTACCGATCAATCTTTTGATTTTTTTATCATCTTTTCTCTACGATGCTCCTCCCTGTCTTGTCCCACTGCAGTACTGGTCCAGCTGCCGGTACTAACAAGCCGGAGTTCGGACGCCCGTCCCCCAGAGCTATTCTCAGCGTTTGATTTTTCGGGGCGACGAGCATGGCTTCGGCGGTATCGTACCGTCTCCCCGATAGCAAACGCTGTTGATAGGGCGGTGTTGATGTGGCCCCAGCACGGAGGGACTGCAACGCGCGGTTGTGGCTCAAGCGAGGTGGCGATCAAGAGGTTCCCATGACAAGGATGATATATTTGCTCAAGCTATAATAGGAGACAAACAGCTTCGAGCCACGATGTCTCCTGCTGGCCGTACCAAGCGGGGCCAGTGCTTCGTCGAATAAACTTTGCTACTACAAATTAACGGTGGTGCAAGCTTGGTCGAGGTACTCCAAATGGCAAGCACCAAGGTCGACAACGCCACTGTTCGACCGTTCGGACGAGAGACTGCGCCGGGTTTGCGTGTTGTGTGCGTTACATAGTATCCCAACGAATGATTGGTTCCTGGTAGAGTCAGTGCTTACGTAGACTAGGCACCCACGACTTTGTCGTGTTTCATGTTGGCGCCTGACAGCACATGCCGCGCACAATGCCGTTCGAGCATTCTTGATTCACACACCGTCACCAAACACCGACGAGCATCGCCGCTCCCGCCGTCACTTCGTTTGCCCTCTCCCCTCTCTTCCAAGGCACCCGTCCCCGATGTATTGTATTTCTTGGCGGTCTTCTCGTTCTGTTTTTTTCCCGGTAATAATCATGTCTGCTGGTTTGTCAATTTGAAAGGTGGCTGTCGTAACTCTGTTCCGACTAGGCTGAACCTGGTCGTTACGTTCGTACACCGTAGCACGGAAGTAGTAGTGGTGCGGGGGGCAAGGTGGTTTGTTCTGTAAGTGGGACGGAGCATGGACGTTGTATCCTTCGTTGTATCTTGATCTAGAGCTGCAGGGAGGTGTGGGGGAATGGTATGGCACATCATGGCATGGCCAGTCAGTGCAAACCCGGCGCTACATAGGGTATCGTAGAAGCACTCGATTTTTGTGTGTTGCTGGTTGGTAAGTATGCTTCCTCTTGGTTGTACATGTAGTGTTTTTCTTCCCTCGCGTGGCGAGGGCGAGCGATGGGCTCCACTCACCCGTGTCCTTTCGTGAGGTCGACACATGACTTCCTTGAAAGCTGGGGCCTTTTGCCGTCCCTAATGTCCTCCTGAAAACCAAAAATCAAACAAATATAAATTGGGTACAGATATATAGTGTATCTCCCTTTGTACGCAACTCGTTTGGCGGCCTGGAATCCGTATTTCGTTCCATCCCGAATGCTTTTTTTCGTTGAAATGTGCGAACCTTTTCGGTTTTCCTTCTTTTGGTAGTGCTTGAGCACGAAATGCGTTGTCCTTCAGTTGGGGCAACACGGATCTACATGCACTAAGAAAGCAGTACTTCGAGCGAGACAGAAAGATCGACGGATGTCCGCGAGGGAACGTCGATGATCTCGAACAACAGTGTGTACGTCGGGAAGATGAATACTCCGTACAACAACAGACTAGGACCTGCCTCACAAATAGCAACATTTTACCACTTGTGCAAGCAATCATAAGGGCGATAGACATTCATCGGTGGATCAAGTCGCTGAGGTTTGCATAGCTTGCGAACACATGTGTATGATGCGTTTCGCCTACATCAACTGGAAAGGATACACGCCCGGGTTCGAATCCCGGCTGGTCACGTCCACAAGCACCATTAGTTCTTTTCCGGCAGCGCCTGGCGAGGGGTCCGTCCCCGGAAATCTCTTCTTCTAATCCCATGACCAGTCGGGTAGCTACGAGCCGAGATTACATCTTTTGTTGAGCAATGCTTAACCATTAGAGCTGACTGAGAACCATAGTGGATAACTATTTGTCTAACAAGATCCTCCCCCCGCTCTCGATTTGGAGAATTTTTTTATCATCTTGGGTTTGGCAAGACTGCCAGGAACGATCCCTCCAAACGATGCAACAATCGACATTTTTTAGTCCGAGGGTCTCGCTACAGAGTTACAAACCAGTGTCGAGAGATGTCTCTGACAACTTGGAGAATTTCTCCATGTATGCCAACGTTGGACACACAACACTTCCCACGCTCGAGATGTGATTGCAACAAGCAGCAGGCATTTGAAATGTACGTTGCTCATGGTGCTGGCGATGGGCCCTCGCTGCAAAAAAAAGGTGTTGATCACAACCTCCAGGTACGTTATAGGTACCGCCGTAGCTCCCGCTGCAGTTGTGTCAGAAAATAATCTCTCCTTTGGAATTGGTTTGGCATTACAGCAGTGGTATATATGCATATCTATATATGAATATATATATGTATATATTTTGCTCCCATCATTGGACTCTGTCGACTGCCCCTCTGGCCCCTATCCTTTACCAGCTAGACCACTCAACCGGGGTCACATAGGAGGTATGTAGTCTAGTGGGCACGCTCCATTCTTGGCGTTGGGAGCGTTGTGCTGCCGTATGAGTGCAGAGGCAGTTTCTCCGCTACTATTATCTTCGAAGTTGCAGCAGCCGACGCGATCTGTGCGAAAGGGCGAGAAAGCGAGAAATTAGCTGCAGTAACGTCCTCGAAGAGTCATCAACAGGTCGTCAACCAGCAGCATATATTTTTCAAAAAAAAAAAAATGGACGTCATGTGAAAGTATAACCCAGAATACAGCACAAAGCTCTGCTCATCGTCACTCCTCCCGCTCTGCACACAAGAGTTATCGAACTACCCGTGCATGCGACGCGGCAGCAGTGTTGGGGAAAATGGACTTGAAATAGTACCTATAGGCTTGTCAAGCCCGCTCGGTATCATCGCACTCCTTTGAGCTGCCGCCCTCCCAGGTTGAAGTTCACAGTCTCGCCTCTCGGGAGCATATTTGTGTTCTCCCATCGAGAAGATCGAGAGAATCAGCACGCAAACCTCTCATCCCGCGCACCTCTCCACTTCACAGACACAGGCCCGGGCGATGCCCTCTTCCGCCCCACACCACCATGACTACGAGGTGTCTCACCTTCGCTACGGTATCCCAGACGCGTTCGCCGCACCCCCCAGGCAGCTCGCGTTGCCACCACCACCGCCTGCCGCTCCTGATGCCTGGAGCAGGCTCCTGCAACGCCGGCTGACGACGCGTCAGCACTGCGTGGAGACCACGCGCAGTGTCGCAGCAGCTAGAGGAGGTAGAGGAGGCGCCAGGGACCTCCTTCTCCTCGACTCGGCGGGTGGTGATAGAGGCGAGCCTCCTGGTGAGGAGCATGGGGAGGAGGTGCGTGATTGCGTGATCGTGGGGGCTGGGATCGCTGGTCTCGCGGCCGGGGCCGACCTGCAGCAAGCGGGGATGGATCTCGTTGTTTTGGAAGCAGGTGAAATAAATGAAATGGAGTCGTAACTGTGTAGATGTGTGTATTTTTCATTGTTAGCATCGACCGCGCTAACCGGCTGACCAATGAAAAGACGTCAGTCTTAGTGCGGTTGAAAACACAAACTTTTATCTGTCACGAACTGGGACCCCGTGAGGGGGCAGCATGAGGGAGGCTAAACCATCCTTCGGATCAAAGCAGCAGCAACAGAGGAAAACTGCACGTGTCTACCAAGGCTACCATCTTGTACTCGAGTTCGTTTAGGAGTACTTTCACCATTATCCTCCTTGTTTTCGCTACCATCATTCCGATCCTCATTTTGACAAAATCTCTGGACAGTTCTTCCCTAGTCCTCCGTTTTTTCTTTTGGGGAAGGTCATCTGGCTCAAACCCTTTGCTCTCTTCTACTCCTCCATGTGTTCCTCCTCCATCGTCGTCTTCGTCCTCCTTTCTTCCCTTTCTCTTTCCTTCGTCTCCGTCACTCCCAAAATATTTACCGTCATTACCATCGTTGTCACAGAGATCCCAACCGATTGGCCATGGCGGAAGTTGGTCGATCAGTAGCCCATGACGTTTGAACACATCGCTAGTTCGCATCGACAGAAAACGAGCTAGCTCGAAGGTAAACCGTCTCCGCATCCTGCAAGTGTGAAAAGCTTTCAGGCGGACTAAAGCTCTTTCGTTGTCAAAATTCCCGCGGCAAAAAAGGTTCGTGCGCCAAGTGCTTGGCGATCGCGAAATGTGTGTGTGTGTAAACTACTGCGATGATGTACTTTACGTAGTCTGCAGACCGGTGGAACATAGACTACTCAGCCATTGTGTGTATGCCTACAAATAGCTGGGCCAACGGGTTTGCCGCATGAAAGTGTTGTTGTTGTGGTTGTTGTCTTCACATTAAAAATCCGTTCCGGTCTCCACTCAGTACCTTCTAATGTCCGTACTGCTCCAACTGACGCGGGCGCCTTCCGTGGTCACAAGCCAACTGCCTCCCCCCCCGTTTTTATGAGTGTAGCAAATGCATACTGTAGAAGAGTATCGGGACGGTTTTAAAAAATGAAGACTGTGTTGTACAGTACAGAATCTACAGCAGTGAAAGGGTGTGATGTGCACGCGGACAGCATGCTACTGCTGTAAGTAGCGAGGTCGTGCCACCGGATGGAGTGGGTCCGTTAGCGCTGATGATGTGAGTATTACTGCCGTAGACAAGGTCTTCTCCCTGCTGTATTTAGTACTCCTAGCCCAGGGAATCTTGTTCTTGTTCTCACATAGGTGAAAAACGTCGGGACTACCGTATATGACACAAGATACCACACCCTCTGGACCAATTTTCAAAGCTCGATTACTCCACGACGAAGAGGATGCATAAAATAAACGATACCTTTTTGGAAAGCTCTCGACGAGGCGATTCCAACGCCGCCGTTTCCGGCGCCGTGACTCTTTCTGTTGTTGAGAAATCGAGAATTGAAAATCGGTCCAGGAGGATCATGTGTCATTTCGGTACAGTAGACTACGATTTATGTTCAAATGTGTGACATTTGGCCATGTGCGATACCTTTCCTACAGTAGTGTACATGTACGCCTCATGTACATAAAATACTTCGAATACTCGTTCTTCTGTGCAAGGGCCGCCGTCGTCCCGAACGCTCTGTTTGAGCGAGAATCGACCGCGGATGGCCTGGGATGGGATACCTGTAATAGTTGGAGAGATGGCACCGGGGTGCGATAAAAAACCCGAGGAATAAACATGTATAAAAACGATCGCACCCGGTGCCATCTCTCCGACTGTTACGGTTGTAGTTCCTTCGTGTTCCCCTGGCAGCAACGGATATAAATGTGTTGGCAAGGGCTCATCATTGTCCTGGGCGGCCTGACGCCCATGTGCACACGGTAGTGGTGGACCAGGTCTACCGCCCCCCTGTCTTGTCACATACCCCGCTGTATACGTACGGTTAGCTTTGGGTTAGTGACCAAAAACTTGAGTGGAACCGCCGCACCCTGACCATTAGCAGCGAACCCGGCACTGTTATCCTGCCGTGAACAGCGACCACAATCCTTTTCCTGCTGGAGTTAGGTGGCTTGTCTCCCGAGGGCGACGCTGATGAGCAATCAATGTCATTGCTGTCGCATGGCTGCATCTCAACGTCATGGCATTCGGTAGTGCCGGTTTAGCGTGCAACCTGTATATTTTTTTGCCTGGAAGTTGCATCGTGTCCAGGGTATCTTGTTTCCTCCCGCCGTGACTTGTCGCTTGTGCGCGAGAGTGCTTTTAGGCTAGTGGCGTCTTTGCTGCAGGTCCTACTGTTGTAATCCACTGCGTTTGATGTGTGATCGTGTTTCCCATGGATGGTCTGTGGCACTGTTACACGCAAGCAACGGATCAAAGACACGCTTAACGTGCCCAAGAACGGTCACAGACATGGACTGCTTACCACATATTTGAAAATTTGAGTTGGAATTTTCATTTCTCGGAATTGAACTTTGTATGACCGCTGTTGCGAGAGGACTTCTGAGACGCGTGGTGTGTTCCCATGAGCATCATGAAGCTTTTGTCCCCTCTGCGGCCATGGAAAACCGCTGTTTACATCATCTGTGGTTGACATGCTGCGCTGTATTTGCGGCATACGCGGGACTGCACAAGAACGAGAACCTCATGTGCGGTAGTTGGCTGGTTGAAGAAAATACACTCCGTTGCCACTTCTCGAATTCCAACGGATGCCAAAATGCTGTTGGAATGTTCGTGGAGGTATTTGTTCCCCTTGATTCAGTTTCAATATACCGTGTGCGTTGAGCTCCAGCGCCCAGCGGGTCTTTCAATATGGTGCATGTTCTCAACGGGCGAACAACGAGCAAAACTCATCATGGAAACGACACGCGTAAACTTCACAAAACAGATCGTCAAAGAGGAATGCACGAAACCACCCCGACAATTGTTACGGTTAAGATTTCATGCATATCTGAAGATCCGAAGGCGTTTTTGGTTCGGATTCCCAACCCCTGAAAATATGCGAGTCGCGGCGACGTTAGGCGGCCAGTACAAGCACCACCAATGTCTCACGAGACCCACGCATAGCGGGAAAAATACCGACGGGTCCTCTGAGTGCCATGGAGAAAACGGTGTTGGAGAAAATGCTGTCCCACCAGATAAAAAGGAACACCCCCACGGATAAAAGTCGAAATGCTACATATGCCTATCGTCCTTTGCTTTGGACCAATCCGTTACGTGTGCATTGGTGCATTTGCCATATACTGTTCGAAGGTAGGACCGTTGGGGAACGAGTAGTCAATGTGCTCCCGCGTCGACCAACGTAAGTCAGAGTTTAGTTGTGGAATTGCCGCCGCACCTGCACCAGAACGATCAACGGCACGTTTCGACGGGGATACCCTCGATGGGCCGTCACTGGCGACTCCGCCCCCGCTATGGCTGCCGCGGCCGCTGCCAAGGCGTTGTGTGTACACGTGGTTGTTGTTTGTTTGTTGTTGTTGTTTCTCACATTAGCTCTAAAAAAAAAAAGATTGGGAGCCCGTGGTCTCAAAACCCGGCATACACGACCCCACGAAGAAACAGAAAAAAATAGGGTACAAAAACCACTCGGAAGAGAAACAAAATGATAGAAAGAAAGACCAGCTACCGCACCAAACGAGAAAGAGCGTCGAGGAGACCGATCAAAA